CGGGCTTATGCCTGTAGAAGCCGATGTCAGAGTTAGGCATCTATTCAAACCAGGTACATGTATTTCTGTGCGGCGTGTCAACACTAAAATCAGGCTTATCTGCCAGTGTATCTTGAAAATCCGGCTTGTATTCAAAACAGGCTTCCATACGAGCCAGGCTTTAATACAAGACACCACGGTATTTATTGATGTTTCTGCTGCATGCCTGTTTTTCATTCTGGCGAATTCAGAGTTGTGGAGATTTCAGCGCTTAGCTGCCCTCACCTCGTGTCCTCGGGCCTCGGTTGTACTTACGCCAGCACACGGTGCATGGGTGCATGCCTTCACGTGCATTTCACGATGTGAATTGATGTTTGTATGTATTCGTTGCACAGTGGCGCATGATCCCTTCTCCACCGTGGACGGTCTTCTCAACATGTCTCGTCCCAGCGTTGATCTGAGCAACTCGGCAAGTGTTCTGGCTGCAGCGGCAACTCGTAAGTTATTTTCTGCACTTTAAAAAAACTGTACAACTAGCTGGCCTTGAAATGCTGTCCTAACAGTATCCTATGTTCTGAGCTGTTTTCACCAAGTCGTGCAACTTCTAACCAGTCATTTTTGCACCATATTCAGATTCACAATTCACAGGTCGGCTCCATTCTGTCCCCCTTGTGGGCACATTGTCCACGTGTAAACCGCCATTCATTTCAATTTTGTGTCCCAGAAATCCCTGGCTTCAAATTAACTTTTCTTATTTTTCAATTTTTCAACCTTGTGCATAGAGAATGGATGCAGCATAGAGCTGGTCGCATCATGAAAATTGATGCATTTCCGAAAATGGGCAGCTGCCCATTGTCAATTGTGCATTCTTGTTTGCATCTGTCTCGTGCACTGACGCTGTATCTGCGCACGTATGTCTGTGTGTTGGTCTGTCTGTCTGTCTGTCTGTCTGTGTCCATCTGTGTCTGTCTGCCTGTCTGTCTGTCTGTCATAACAAACAGTGCAAGTTCAGCCAGACCATGATGTGTTCAGCTACAATGACAACACCACCTACGCAACATACAATCCAGCTGGCGTTGTGCCCAACCAGGCTGTTGTCGACGTGCTGAACATCAGCAGCAAGGCAAACGCCACTTGCAATGGAGACTTCGCTTGCCTGGCCGACTTCATTGCAACTGGCAGCACCACACTGGCCGCATCTACCCTCGTGACGGAGAAAGCTCTTCAGCAGTCCTCCATTGCCGTGGGTATGTACACACCCTCTTGTGCACTGGGGTCTTCTTGTTGTTGTTGTTGTTGTTTTTTGTTTTGTTTTTTTACTTCACCAGATACACGGGCATGTCTGCCTTCTCACCTAACCATTATGGCTAGCCTCTCAATAAAAGATGAATGTATTCTAACAGTGTGTACACATGGACATGCACACAATTTTGTCACAGTGCAACAACGTGAAGCTTTCCAGGACTACTGTGTTGTGTATTCGTTGTACATATGTATCAGAATGCGTTTTTGAGGCGTTATGGATAGTAGCACCGCGATTCTCTTGTTTCATAGCCTGGACCCTGTGAAGATTCTTGTTTTCACTACGGATCCAACTTCAAGATTGAACTTCAGGCTGGTTTGTGTCAACATACATACATATACAAAATTGCTTTGACGCACACTTGAAAGGAATCAAAGCGTTTCTGCCGTTTCACGGTTGTATCTGATCATCAGACAGCAACTGGACTACAATTTTCAGAAGATATGACGGATATAGGCTGCAAGCTATATTGCTTGGGCTTGAATTGAAGTCGGACCTTCCCGTCAGCTTGCACAAGAATACGATTAACTCGACTTGTGTGCCGTGACTTGTTTTCTTTCAGCTCGCAGTCCACCACTGATAACATTGTCTACTGATGTCCTCAATGCTAACTTCAATGTAACCAGCAACGTGACTGTTCGTGCTGCTGCTACGCTCACTCTCAACATCTCGGTTATCGAAGTGGCCACCTCCAGCGGGATTGTCCCTGGTGATCTGGTGTCGGCCTACTCCCCGCAGTCTGGATTGGTGCTTAGCTGGACTCCCAGCCAGCGCCAGCCGGCGAGCAGCAGTATTGTGCTGCGCGTGCGTGCCGTTGACTCGGCCAACCAGGCTTCCATCGTTACCGTGCCAATCACCCTCTGCAGCTGTTTCGGAGAGTGCAGCGATGCACCAGCCAGCACTGCTGTCTCAACACCCTTCACTCTACTTACATGTACTGCATGCTTGCCAGGTGAGAGATGACGTCAATCCGGGTGCTTTGTTATTATACATGGTCAACAAAGGAAAGTTTGAACTAGTTCGAGCGATCAACTTCATAAAGGAAAGTTTTATGATAGTATTGAGCAGAATTAGCAAGGTGAAAATCGTACGTAGCAATAACAAAATAATTACATTACAATAATTCCTAGAACCTGTTATATCGATAATAATAAAGTGAGCACACTCATTCCACGAGACCAACGGAAAAACATGAAAGGATTTTTAAGAGGATTTTTCATATTGTTCCATTGGTGTCGTGGTATGAGTGCGCTCACTTTATTTTTTGTCGATATTGGGTTTATTGGGTTTCTTGTCTCCACGCCGCCTTATTACCGTATGTCCCCCATCTTTAAAGTCATGGAGGTATATTCGAGTATAAAGCCATGGGCTTCATAAATGAAATGACATTTGAAGTATGTTTTGTGAAAATGAAGGAATAAGTACTATACTAACAAACTTACAGCCCGGCAGGAAGGATGAACAAGTGGATTTAGACTGAAATTTCTGTGTGGACTTTTACTTTTATGGCATGGCGTAGTGGGTGAGTCATATTGCATCTAAAATAGCTAGGAAAGCAGCGGTGTTCCGAATATAAGGCCATGGCTTTAAAGGTGGGGCTGACATACGGTAGGAACCTGGTATGGTCTTTTTATGATGTTCTTTTTTACTAACCACGATACAGTGTACAGACCAACACTTAAACTATAGACCTTATTCGATAACGTGATTTTTGGACTCGCCTCCAGGGATTTGTCGTAAGCTGGGGCACGCGTACGTGAAACGAGTGGCAAGAAAGGCCCAGGTCGTACAAGGGAGTAGTAAAATACCGGTATTTTCTACTCCTGTGTTCCCACGCCAAGTCCACTGTGCACTGAGTGCAGGTCTCTTGCCACTCCCTGGTTCCCGGAACCCCGGTTCCCGTGATTGTGACGTTTATCGAATAAGGTCCATAGCTCAACCTAGGTTACAACTTGGCTACATTGAAACAAATGTAGTTTGTGAAGTATGTGACAATGTGAAGTGAGTGCTTTACCACAGAAGCCCAAGAATGACCTGAGCTGCGTTAGTTGACATGTTACACTTTACCAGGGGCGTAGCACCCGCTAGGACTGGTACGACCATGGTCGTACCACTTTTCGAAAAGTGTGGTCCGTCAGGAACGTGCAAAACCTTAATAAAAAAAATCAGAATCTATCGATGCATATGCCCATCAGACTTTGACCTTTTTCTAGACTTGTACTCGTAGATCTGCCATGCACCTGCAGTCGTACTCGTACTGTACTCGACTGGACTGCACAGTCGAGTCCCAGAACACAGGATTTTGTATCTTTTGTACAAAAAAATTCCCGGGGGAGGTCCCTTGGACCCCCTCCAAAACGGCCTTCCGCCGAGACCACCTTCGGTCGTACCACTTCCACAACCCCTCCTACGCTGCTTTACAGTGAAACATGTCTAAGACGACCGCACAAGGGACCTTCAAAATGTAATCTCTGTTACCTGGTGGTCTCCTTATCCAGGGTCATTTGACTGGAAATAGCATCCCTTAGTCCTGGTTTCAGTGGTCTTCCTGGACAGGTGGTCGCCTTTGCATGTGTAACTGTACTTGCCATTGTTCGCTTACTTGATTTCTTCTGCTCGTTTGTTCTGGTTCAGGTCAAACTGGCCGTATTTGCGAGAGCGACATCGACGCTTGCCTGTTGCAGCCCTGCGGTGGACTGCGGCAATGCTCGGACGAGCCCGCCCCATCGCTGGGCTACCGATGCGGAGCATGCGCAAGCGGTTTCCGCGACGGCGGTTCTTCAAACTTGTCCTGTGTGCAAATGGACGAGTGCGCGGAGGGTGTTGCGGTGTGCGCACCCACAATCAGCACTTGCCAGGATCAGCTTGCCTCCTATCACTGTCCTTGTGCAGTGGGATATACTGGTACTGGAAACAAAAGCTGTGTCGGTAAGTTTTTTTACGGATATAATATTTATTTCATTTTAATATAGGTCCTTTTCTCAATAAAACTGTGTGTGTGGTCCTTTTCTCTTTACCATTTTTTTTAAGCTGTGTCGGTGAGTACATGTGGGCGACAGGGACGTGGCTGGTCCCCTCTTTGGGGGGGGGGGGGGGGGTGCACGGCAGCTGTATCATACATGTCCCCTAGGATGGTTGGTGCATGTCATCCTGGGCATTATGTGCATGCCGAACCTAGGTCGAACCTTTTAGGGGCGTGCATTTGTCCCCGTGCCCATACGGGCTATGCATCTGGGCACTGTGCTGACCCAGTCGAAATATTTGTACTCTTATGATGTGTTTTTCTAGTTGTATGCCAAGCACAGGTGCACAGGTGGCAGTTTGACCTGCGAGAGTGCTCCACACATGAAGCAGGCAGAGCCTTGTCCGATGTGCCAGGAAGCTCTGCGTGACAACCGTATTCTTCCTACCATTGTCAACTTCTGTGCACATACTCTCTACTAGTACAATTTCAAAGAGTTGGGAGAAGAGGAAGGCAGGCTTTTTTTACCAATAAATACTTGTCTGAAATCTCACCACCACTCCGCCGACTTTGGTTTCGGCACGAAACATTAAGGCAGCTGTTGTGGTGTATCGTTGTGTTCATTGCTGCTGTCTCTCAAGAAAGGTTACTCTTTTGATTGGTATGTATTTGTGCAGATGTGGACGAGTGTCAAGATGCTCAGTTGAATGACTGTGACCATAAATATGCAACCTGCACCAACACCAGAGGAAGCTATACGTGTGGTTGTAAGCGTGGATTCCAGGGACCGGGTATTAGCGCACATGGAGGTTGCCATGGTAAGTTTCCGCATTCTCTCTCTCTCTCTCGCTCTCTTGCCCTCTCTTGCTCTCTCTCTCTCTCTCTCTCTCTCTCTCTCTTTTTCTCTCTTTCTCTCTCTCTCGCTCTCTCTCACACACACACACACACACACACACACACACACACACACACACACACACACACACACACACACACACACACACACACACACACACACACCTTGACCTTGACCTTGATCTTGCCCATTGCGTACGCAATGATAGCGAATGTCGGAAAGTTCAAGTGAGAACACGAGCGCAGAACTTGGCATGTCGTTTCAGGTCTCCTGGTCGACGAAATGGGCGTCCACAGACACATAGAAGAGGATCAGGAGCGGCCCGTGGCGGTGGGGTGCTACTCGCAACTCGTCTCCAGCCGGGACGGTCTTGGCAACTCTCAAGCCAGGTGGTCACGCCGAGGTCCGCCAGGTCAGTCGACACCACATCTCGCCACCTCTTCTTCGGGCCGTGACGAGGAGGGGGGCAGGCAGCTCGCCGAACAGCAATTGCTTCGGTGCGCGTGAGTCGTCCATCCTGCCGACGTGACCCAGCCAACGAAGCCGGTGGCGACGAATGATGCGGGTGATATCAGGGTCAACACCGAATGTAGCTGCTAATGTGGCCGTTGAGATCCGATCATCCCACTGTTGACGACGACCGATACCCACAATGGACCGAACACACTGATGGTGACGTGTTTAGCTTCTGGAGGTGGCCTGCCTTGGTGGTCCACGTCTCCGCACCATACAAGAGGGTCGTGAGGACGACAGCCTCATAGACACGCCTCTTGCTGCGAAGCGACAGGGTCTGGTTATCAAAGACAGGAGCTTTGAGGGCTCCGAACACAGCTGAGGCTTTCGCAAGACGAGAGCGGACATCAGCACAGGCAAGACCATCCGAGGAGAGCACACTGCCAAGGTAGGTGAATTGGTCCACCACCTCAATCGTGTCTGCTCCAACAACAACGTCACAGCGATCAGCAGACTCACCCACAGCCATACCCTTGGTCTTTCTCACACTGACCGTCAGGCCCCAGCTGCTTGCGCATGTGATGAAGCTGGAAGTCATCGCTTCGAAGGCAGGCCGAGATGTTGCGTAGAGTGCAGCGTCGTCAGCAAACTGGGATTCTGTGACCGTTGATGACAGGAGCTTGCCCTTCACCGTTCGGTCACCTACTAGCTTCCTCCTGACTTTCTATCGAAAGGATATGCCAGCGTCCGGACAACTGGACCTCCAACTGGCAACGGCGGCAGAGAAGTACAAATTGAAGAGCATTGGTGCGAGAGTGCAGCCCTGACGCAATCCATTCCGCACAGTTATCGGGTCAGTCAGCTTGCCATCCACCCGAACAGAAGCAGTCATGCCGTTGTGGAGTGACTGAATGATGCGGAGCATTGCCGGCGGAACACCAAGCTTTTGGAGAACCTGCCACAGCGCTGCACGCGGGATACTGTCATACGCCTTTCTCAGATCGACGAACAGGACATAATTATGCATCTGAATCATGCTCGAACGTCTTCTCCATCAACTGCCGTGCAACGTACACCATATCGACGCAGCCACGTCCCTTTCTGAAGCCGCACTGAGAGTCTGGCAAGACATTTTCAGCGATAGCTTTGAGGCGGTCCTGCAGAATACGGGCAAGCAGCTTGCCGACAACGTCCAACAGACTGATGCCGCGCCAGTTACCACAGTGGTGTAGATCTCCCTTCTTTGGGATGGGCACAACCACTGCATCACGCCAATCATCGACTACAGTGCCTTCGAGCCAGGATTTACGCTTGATGGTCAGGATGCGACTGTGTAGGTCTTTGCCACCATGTAAGACCATGTCCGGTAGAATGCCCGACTGACCGCCAGCTTTACCCGCTTTCATGGTCCGCAGTGCAGCCTCCAGCTCAGCAACAGTGGGTGGCTGGTCCAGCTCAGGAATAACAGGGCGATCCGCCATCATCTCGACCACAGCTGCGTCAAACTCACTCTCAACGTTCAGGACACCCTGAAAGTGCTGCAGCCATCTTCCACTGACAGCCTCGGGTCCATCACTCAACGTGCCATCTTCGAAATACACAGCAGATGGCTGCATTGGACGGCGGCCTTGATGGAGCGTCTGCAACTTGCGGACTGCAGCCCAACGAACAGAACAATTGTTAGCAGCATTTTCAGCTTGGGATGCGATGTCTTCAATCCAAGTTTCCTTGGCACTCCTTACAGCCTTCTCCACCTCACGTTGTGTCTGACGAAAGTTCTTGCGTGAAGACGCGGTGTTCTTCTGCAACATGACACCTCCAGCGGAATTCTTGATATCAATCAGCGGAAGAAGCACAGTCTCACTCGCCTTAAACCAGTCGGGTTGCCTGCGTTGCCGTGGTCCCAGGACATCCTCTGCTGTACTGCACATTATATCCTTCACTGCTTGCCATTGGTCAGCTGCAGTGTCCGCATCAGCAGTATCAGGGAGCTTGTCTGAAATTTGTTCAGCAAAGCTCTTGCGAACGGCCGGGTCACCCAGCTTTCCGACAGCAACAGGTGCGGGTTTCGGCACAGGGCGAGGCCTGCGGCACAATGGACGATCAAGTAGAATCCTGCTGCGAACCATGTGGCGGTCTGTCCAACAGTTGGCACCTCGCATTACGCTGACATCAAGACAAAAGCGACGGTGTGGCTGCCTCATGATGATAAAATCTATGAGATGGGTTTGCTTCGTAGCTGGGTGCATCCAGGTCCCACGCCTCGACGCAGGTTTCTGGAAATGGCTGTTCATTACAGACAGCCCGTTGGTAGCACACCACATCAGAAGCCGCTCACCAGCATCATTCCGCGCACCGTGGCCGTATCTCCCCAACACAGCCCTCCATTCGTCTCCCGCGTCATTGCTGCTGCCAACTCTAGCATTGAAGTCACCAAGCAGCAACAGAACATCACTGGCTGGCACACCATCGACCACCCTCTGCAAATCTGTAAAGAAATGATCTTTGACGGGTGCAGTAGCTTTACTGGTTGGTGCGTACGCACTCACAACTGTCACATACAAATCATTCCTTCTCTGCCATTCGCCATGCACTCGAAGTTCCCCCGCCTCCGCGAGCTTGAGACGGGCCACAACCAATCTCGAACTTACAGCGGTCCACTGCTCACCAGCACGTCTCCAAGCCTCCGTCATCCCTGGGTTCAGCATAATTCCAACACCTCCGTTCCTACGCGCAGGACCATCGCCATTTTGTGACGACGACCTGAATGCAAGAACGTATAGCCATCAGCTCTCCAGACATCGGACTCGTACCACTTTGTCTCTTGGATCGCAGCGATAGCAATCCCATATCTCCGAAGCTCCGCGACCAAGAAATCCAATTTACGATCGATCGACAAATTATTATTTTGCCGCTTTCTGCAGATCCGCTCGTCTCCAGAGTCCTCGACAAAGGAACGAACATTCCACGTCGCGAAAGCGAGAGCAGCTCCACGTCAACCACCACCACTTCCTTCATTTCTCCTCTCTGTCTGGTTGGACTTCGTCGTCGTCCTCCTCACCATTCCAAATTCAAATTTTCGAAAGTCTCAAAATGAACTTTCCAACTACTTGTGCAGCGAGTGCGCAACAACAACTCCGCAGTAGCTTGCAAGGCCACTGGCGGAGGTCACCGCAGCCCTGCCCTGGTCTACACCACACGGACAGGGCTGTGTTACGTGACACAAACGACTTGAGGTCAGAGCACTCAAAAATGCAACCAACCTCTACTGTACCAAGCACACACACACACACACACACACGCACACACACACACACACACACACACACACACATCCTTGTGTGGTTATCCTCCTTTTCTGCCCGGTCGCTAGCACATGTTGAGGAAGTCACATAGCCTTTCAGATCAGGGCCAATGGAAATGTCAGCGAAAGTGTTTTGCCGCTCCGCTGGGTTTGACCCGTTGTTTTGCAGCTCCGCTGGGTTTGACCCGTTGGCTCTTTTTTCGAGATCATGAGTAATACTGTGGGAGGCAGTCTGTGGCTGCTGGAACCTTGCCGCTGGAACCTTGCCGCTGGAACCTTGCCGCTGGAACCTTGCCGCTGGAACCTTGCCGCTGGAACCTTGCCACTGGAACCTTGCCCCTGGAACCTTGCCGCTGGAACCTTGCCGCTGGAACCTTGCCGCTGGAACCTTGCCGCTGGAACCTTGCCGCTGAAACCTTGCCGCTGGAACCTTGCCGCTGGATCCTTGCCGCTGGAACCTTGCCGCTGGAACCTTGCCGCTGGAACCTTGCCGCTGGAACCTTGCCGCTGAAACCTTGCCGCTGGAACCTTGCCGCTGGAACCTTGCCGCTGGAACCTTGCCGCTGAAACCTTGCCGCAGGAACCTTGCCGCTGAAACCTTGCCGCTGGAACCTTGCCGCTGGAACCTTGCCGCTGGAACCTTGCCGCTGGAACCTTGCCGCTGAAACTTTGACGCTGAAACCCTGCCGCTGGAACCTTGCCGCTGGAACCTTGCCGCTGGAACCTTGCCGCTGAAACTCTGCCGCTGGAACCTTGCCGCTGGAACCTTGCCGCTGAAACCTTGCCGCTGAAACCTTGCCGCTGGAACCTTGCCACTGGAACCTTACCGCTCAGCGTATGCTCTGCGTGTGCTTTGTGCGATGCACGCCGTGCGTCCTGGTAAAGGTGACATCAGCAAATAAAAACATTTTGCTGTGGATCAGACTAAATAAAAACATTTTGCCGTGGATCAGACTAGCTGCGGAGTTGCACGCTCTAGTTCTCTTGCTACTGTGTAGCACATTCAAAATCTTTATGATGTCATCTATACATTATTTTCTCCCTATGCAAGTCGCAACTCCTGTTTTGAGTTGTTTTTCTTCTCTCTTTTTCTTTCCCTACTAGTTGCTGTTACACTCACTGATCCTTATGCACAGATATACAGCATTCCCTCACTAGTGGGACCATTGTTATTAGGCTAGGGCCTGTTTTGGACTTCCCACTCTAAATAAAGAATACAAACAAACAAACAATCTACAGTCATAATGATGTCATTCTATATTTTCCGCATACAGATATCAACCAAGTAGTGAAAAGAAAATTGATTTTGGCTACAACTCTTTTGAGATTTCTTTGTTGTGTATCATGACCACGGAACGAATATTATTCATTGCTATCATCAAAATATCGTCTCCACGCCGCTTTACTTCACTGTTTTCTAGCTGTGACCTGCCAGGTACCAACTATCAGCAATGGGACATCTAGCCAAACAAGGATGATCAGATATCAAGAATCAGTAACCTACACCTGCAATACTGGCTACACACTGAGTGGAGTGAACACATCAACATGTGCAGCTGATGGTACTATACTATCACCCAGTTGTCTAGGTGAGCAAACGTGTAACAATGTATCCTGATCAGATGACAGTGATAATAAAGTGTGCCAGCCTATCAACATTTACTGTGCATACCATTTCGCATCTACTACTGACTAGAGCTGGGCTCACACATAGAGAGAAAGGAGAGAAATGATGATGGAAGCCCAGCCGTTCTAGGAGGGCTGCCACAAACTGGATCTGCTGTGCCACTATAGCAGGGGATTGTGCGATGTTGACCTGATGTGGCAGGGGTGAGCCCACCGCACGTAAGGTACTTGGGGAGAGGCGGGGGGGGGGGGGGTGGTGGGAGTCAGCGAAGAATTTCAGGAGCATTGCAATTATACTGGAGGGTCAAAATGTCAAGTTGAGATTTGCATGGTCACATTGCACACAACTGCAAAGTATTTTAGCACAATAGTATTTCAGAAGCATTTGGGCTGGGAATGCCCATTTGGCTCAAAAGCAGAACGTCATTGTCGAAATGGTAGATGGCAATGCTGTCGAAAATGAAACCAGTTTTTTCTGGGCACATTGATCCTTTCCGAAGGTTCCATTCTTGTTTGACATTATGTAAAGGGTTGGGTGTTCTTATGTCCATAATCGATTTCTGTCCTCAGTGGGAACTACGGAACTGGAGTCACAAGTTCATGAGAAAGGGGATGTGATGTCTGCTTCATTCATACATTTCATAGCGTTTGAGAAAGTATACCTCTGTGTGAAGTTGTGTTGCTAAGGCAGGGACGCTACTCATGTCAAAGCGTTCTAGTTATCTGCTTTGGGCAACTGTTCTTGGCTTCTTTCAAATCGATTAGAAGGCCAAAAAAATGCTTTCCTGGTTCATAGTTATTTGTTTCCACCGAGGCATGGGCACATCCATGCTTGTGTGGCTTTGTCGTTGCGGAATTTCTTTTCATTGTTGTTGTATCTTAGCTAGAAAGCCATTTCTTGTGAGGCAATGTATGGTTTGCGGACAGCATGTGATGCTTGGCAAAGGTCAACATGGTGGAGCTCTCCAAACACCCTTGGCGAAGGAAAGTCAACAAAGAAGGGAACTGGATATCTTGACGCTTCAATGACAGGTCCATTTCCAACTACCCCCCCCCTCGCCCCTCCCCCCCCCCCAGATAAAAGAGATATAAACGTTATGCCACAGAATATTAAAAAGAAACATTCTCACTGTTGACGCGAACCAGATATTAAACAGAAGGAGCACTAACATGGCTAAAAAAATGTTATGTTGCCATCCTAACAAATATGGGGTTTGCCATCATCAACGAACAAGGACACACCCCCCCCCCCTTCCCCTGATGAGCACAAGCACCAAGTCTCGCTATTTTACTAGAATACATTCACGTACACGAGAAGGTCTGGCGGGACCGTAAGGGTTGCCATGGTTGCAAGGTCACCGGAACGTATTCATGTGTCCTACCTGCCAAATTGTCGATCAAACATTTTTTTACGGGCAAACAGAATACAATTCACGGTGGCATGGTGAGCGATTGGAGCACAACACAAAAAATGAAAACAATTGCATTTGTAAACGGTGCCAAACTTCCAGATTGTGGTTAGTTGGCAATAGCTTATTTCTATCAAGAGATTCAAATAGAGTTGTCATGAAAAGAAAGCAGTGATTAAAGAATAATAAACATTATCACTGTTGAAGAGAAAAGGACATATGGATACGAGTTAAGAGTAACTCTCCATCACTGTAACATGATACTATATACAGTCAGAAAGTGCAATAACTAGGCACAAAACTGACAGAGTACTGAAACATTCGACGTCCTGACACCTAGCTTCAACACATCTCCGTAGCGCTAACCGACAGCCTTCCAACTTGGAAGTTGGAAGGCTGTCGGTTAGCGCTACGGAGATGTGTTGAAGCTAGGTGTCAGGACGTCGAATGTTTCAGTACTCTGTCAGTTTTGTGCCTAGTTATTGCACTTTCTGACTGTATATGGGCCGCGATCAGGTAAAACATGTCTTTGGGGTTTCGTAAAAAAGTTGGGAAATGACGAAATGAAAAAAATGTTTTTGAAGCGCGTTTGCTCTGCACTTCATTCAAGATCAAAATGATCCATGATGTGGCGATCATCTTCTCAAATTTTGTTCAAACCGTGACTTGTTTGGCGGTCTAGTTCAAGTAGCTGGCGAGCAAAGACTGACAATGTCCGCTTCTAGTGAAACTAGAGCAGCTCGCAGGGCCAGACGATCGCTGTGCATGGCCCAGGTTTGTTCAGGTGTCTGCAAGTCCGTGGCGGCGGGTCCGACAATTTGTTGGGATCTCAGTGATGTTGATGTCGACAGCGAAGCTGACTCGTCCCCGTCGTCTCCAGTAGCGAAGAGGTACAAGTTGTGGGCTAGTACATAATCATTAGGCGGCGAACCGGCTGCCTTACGACGTTACTTGCGTTCAGCTCTCATGAGTCGTCTGACGCAGTCTCGGAAACGCAGGCGACGATCGAAAGTGTCACTGCCAGAATCGAAAGAGTATGCAAGTGCAACGCCGCCCAGAGCATCGTGTTGCTTTCCAGGAAGAACTTGGGCCATGCCTTTGAACTGATGTCGTTGACATGCTCAAGTCGGTGTCAACATCTTTAGTTCCATTGTATTGTACTCCGCCACAAAAGCCACTTAGTACTAATAGTTTGTCTCTTTGTGTCAGACTGTGCGAAAACTGTCATTTTCTACAAGTATTTCAAAGTACATATTTTGAAAGCGGTGTTTGGGGCACTTGTAGACTACTTTTCTGCGATGTATCACCTTCAAGAGGTCATGTAAGGTCCCAAGAACTGTTTTCGGGAGGAAAACAAAATTTGAAAAATTTCACTCTAAGACATGTTTTAGCTGGTTGTGGCCCATATAGTATCATGTTACAGTGATGGAGAGTTACTCTTAACTCGTATCCATATGTCCTTTTCTCTTCCACATTTATTTATGGCTCAACATCCGAGTTTCAAATTATCACTGTTTTTAGGAAATTAGAGGCCACATGCCACGTACTGCTCTTTTCTCTCCGAAACTCAACACTTGCAAGCCAGATATGAAAGAAAGAAAAAAATCATCAGTCACACCACCGGGACACCAGCATGATGGAAGCCAGATATGAATTGATCGAAAAAAGGAAAGATTTACCATCACTGTGGATAAGAGTCATACTGTAGCTCAGTTGGTTAGAGCATTGCTCACGAATAGCAAGGTCCCTGGTTCGACCTCGGGGGACCTCGGTCTTTTACTCGTTCTATATTTGAGCCGAGCCAAGCTAAAAGGTGGCTGAGGCAAAAATTTTGGAAATTTCTTTTTTCATGCCAAAGTGATGTGTATTATATCCAACTTCCATCATGGAAATTTTGGTGCCCATCTGAAATGTATATGTGCCATAAATAAGCATACATTGTGCACATGTCACAGAATGGCTGGTATCAATGACACTAAGGATTCCAAGACCTTCCGAAACTCCAAGAAAACATGGGACACCAAGTAGAGACAAAGCGTAGCAGGTGTGCAAGCAATACAAGAAGAATGGGCACTTGTATTCTAATTAGAAGATCCAAGAAAGAAGAAATTACAAATCTAGATTAAATTTTCATCATGACTCATGTCATTTTATCACGCAATACGAATTTTCAAATCATTCATCATGATGTTGTAACTATGTTTTGCTGCGTTGGGGAACGTCGCATCTCACCAAGACAGTCCGTCATACTCTCTCATATCACCTATGCCAGGATGAATAATATTAATCCTTTCACTTAGCTCGTAGTGCTGTGCCAGAGATGTAGCTCCATTCGTGTACTGCCCTCGCACCTACATATAGGTCCAGTAGACTGCACATCGCTAACAAGCGACACTGGTTCTTTGTCCGTCCTTGTCCATGTCATTCTCCTTCCCTGCCAAGGATACTGGTAGAAGGCGCCACGGGACAAAATGCTAGCAGGTAGAGTCAAGGCATCGCTTCGTCGTGCGGCACTATTTCCTTGAAACGAGGAAATTGTGGAATCCAGTGCGCCACGTCATGAAAACTAAATTGAAGGTAGCCGAAACAAAGTGAAAGATCGCAGCAAAAGCCAACTTACCAGGCCGCTTGTCAGAATGATAGTCGGAAGGCTTGTAGATGTCTCCCCATAGCTACACTCGCCGCTCTAGTCGTGGCCACGATAAGAAACACAGCCACTATGAATGAGGGACTCTTCCTCGTCAAGTAGGTTTTGGCGCACGCGGATATAGAATGTCATCCTGCTCACCTCCACATTCTCTAGAAGCTCCATTACGATCTCTGGCAGCGCTGAGGAATCCCCACAAAGTTGAAAGAGGGAACACTGAAGAAGTGTTGCTCAAACATAAAAAAGGTTTCTCTCTTCATCATCCGCTTGCAAACTGGAAAGTGAATATTTTCGCGATCGCGCTCGAGTAGAATTTTGCCAACTGTGACGTTTTGGTGATTTTCTTGATTTGTTGGCAAAACATGAAGCCACTTTTTAGCTTGGCGCGGCTCATTTCATATATTGACCGATTATGAGGGCAATAATAGATTTATCACGACATAGCATACCTATCCTGTTTTTAGCTGTGTTTATAGGAAGAAAGGAATACTATTGTAATAGTCCACAGATTGAGTAATAGTACATGGTATGTACATATGCCGTTTACATTGGACATTACTTCTCTATAAACAGAAGTTTTCAGTTGTCACTTGTAGTATGTTCCCCAAGTTCTTTGACTGATAATCTGACAGTTTGGGTTCGAATCCCAACGTTTGGCTTCAGATTTTTCTTCTTTCAGTTCTGATTTTTTTCTAAGTTGAGGAAAAAGTTCTCAGTCCTCGGGCTATTAGTGGTCAATGATAAGTGGTCAATATAAGCGGTAAATATATGCTGGTATTTGACCGCTTAGGGCCGGGTTCCACCCCGGCTCCGCTGCTCCGCGGCACTTGGCTGCATGCAGTGGAGCAGCGCGGTTCCACTGACACTCGCGGTCGTGCTTCACACTTTTTGATGACGTTTCACCTGCCTGCGCGCGCGCGCGAAATCAAAAAAATCCTCGTGTTCTGGCCTGCGCAACGAATTAAAATTTGAATTTTAAAATTCTGGCGTACAAAACAATGCAAAGTACAGGAAACAGGTCGAGACGCGACCGCGGCTCGCAGTTTTTGGTCAAGAATCGTAGCAAAAGCTCGCGGTGAGCCGCGGACTCGCTGCTCCAGCTCGAGCAGCGGTCACTATGGTAATGATGACGTTTCAAGCCGCGAAAGATGAGCAGCGGAGAGGCAGTGGAACCCGGCCCTTAGAGATCACAAGTTTCTGTGGTGGTCAATAATAAGAGAGTGATAATGTTTGCAATTTCAAATTTGGACTTCACGGAGAATTTCAAAGTTTTTAGGAAATTAGAGGCCACATGCCACGTACTGCTCTTTTCTCTCCGAAATTCAACACTTGCAAGCCAGACATGAAAGAAAGAAAAAATCATCAGTCACACCACCGGGACTCGAACCAGGGACCTTGCTATTCGCGAGCAATGCTCTAACCAACTGAGCTATAGTATGACTATTATCCACAGTGATGGTAAATCTATGGGGGCGAGGGGGGGGGGGTAGTTGGAAATGGCCCTGTCATTGAAACGATAATACACACATACAGTCAGTCTGCTTGCTCAGGCCATTGCCGTTTTATGAGCTATTAGTATAACGTTCCATGTACTGTTTTCTAGCTGTGACCTGCCAGGTACCAACTATCAGCAACGGGATATCTAGCCAAACAGGGATGATCAGATATCAAGAATCAGTAACCTACACCTGCAATACTGGCTACACACTGAGTGGAGTGAACACATCAACATGTACAGCTGATGGTACTATACTATCACCCAGTTGTCTAGGTGAGCAAACGTGTAACAATGTATCCTGATCAGATGACAGTGATAATAAAGTGTGCCAGCCTATCAATATTAAATTTTGCTGTGCATATCGTGTCACAGATTCTACTAACTAATGATGCTTTACTCTAGTTGGGCTCACACAATGAGAGAAACTTGCGAGAAATTTTCGCTCTGTGTAGTAAAGGTTTCTTTTTTTTGGGAAATGCCGTCAAAACTTGTCTTCGGTGTAAAGGTGATGATAGATGACGAGTTTGGATGACTGCGACATATCAATGCCCCAAGAGCTCTCCTTGATGGCAAAGCTCTCCAGGTGGAGGAGCCATCTGGATGTGTTCACGTTCTCTTCACGCTGTAGGCCAAGGATCCAGCAAAAACATCATATCAGATAGGTCGCTCGAGATACTCTTAGATATGATAACACAGTAGCAAAAGCAACGGTAATCCTCGGACAACTACTATCTCGTCATACATGTGCTTGTGGTAGACTATTAAAAAGTGCTCTGTGCAGCCTGGGCTTTTTACTCTGAATGCAATTTCAAGGTGTCTCGCCATCACTTCTGCCTTTAATAGTGCAACCATGCTAGTGTTATTTGAAATGGGTTTGATCCCCACACTGGAGCTCGCGGTATTCGGCCGACTTGACTAGACACTTGACTGACTCACGACTGCCATCTAGAGTACATGAGAAATCCATCTTACCTTCGACTGCAAACCTGCAAGAATGCATCACTCCCTGCTCGATACACAGTGTACTATTTCATGCTAGTGTTATTGTCTGTCTTTGTGACTGGCTGCTGCCACAGCACCTTTCACCCGACCGACAGCTGGTCAAACCACAACCCATGCGGCAAACGGGATATCCACAGCAAAACCACCCAACGGTAAAAAATTGGGCAATGCAAACTATGCCTGGGTTGGTGGCCTAGTCAGTGGTCTGCTAGTTATTGCCGGGATTGCAGCCGTTCTGATATTCCGCCGTCGTCGCAGCTCTCAACAAGGGGCGACTGCTCATAGGTCAGTGATGTCTTCATGTAGTTTACACTAGTCACGTGGTTTGCTTCACTGTCTGAAGATTGCTCAGTACCCATGTAGGGCATAGCCTTGTACACAAGAGAGAGATTGGAAGCTTTGTCACAACTCTGACTTTCAAGTATCACTACAGTTGCCTGTTGATTGTTGTAATACGTGAAACTCAGAGTTGTCACAAAGCTTCTAATCTCTTTTTTTTTGTAGCTTACACTACCATTTAGTTTGTCCATTTCGCTTATGCAAAGATTAGCCAAGTTTGCTTTGTGATGCCAATACGAGGAATCATTAAAATACCGATATCACTGAATACGCACGATAGTCACTACTACTGGTAAATACACTGCCATCACGTGTCCTCAGTTCCTGAAGTGTATTATCCTGGGGAGTGATGGGTGTAGATGGATAGGAGTACAGTTCACAAGCAGCAACCCATCCCCGACCCATGGCACGTAGTTAATTATGGTTCCAGGGACAAGAGCGAAGTTCCATGTGTGGAAAATAAACCCCATTTCGTTTTATAGACAAGGCTGAAGTTCATGGTTTAATCTAGGGGTGAAACAATTATACCGAATACTCGAGTACTCGCTCGGTTTTTTCAAAAATAATCGTACTCGGAATAAATCAGAGTACTCGTTCATACATGGTACATGCATTAACCATAGAAATCTGCAGTTTCAGAGCAGCAATCGGCAGATGTTGATGTGCAGGCTGTGTGGTGAACATTTGTTCATGAGTACAGAGAGCCCAAATGACCCACCAACCAATATACCCGCGGCGAGAAAAATGACTGCTACTCGGTTCAACCAGGGTTGTATCAGGTGATTTTAACGCCCTTGGTGTGCAAATTTTAGTAGATGAAGAATACTCGAATACTCGAATATTCGATCGGAGAAAATCAGAGTACTCGAACTCGGGATCTCAGTGCCAACTTTCACCCCTAGTTTAATCCCTCACTTGCGCACTACGGGTCTTGTCTTTTAATGTTGAAACCGTTTCCAAGAGTACTATGATCCGTAGTCAGCTTTACAACAATGGAAAGTCACGTTTTTGGGCCGCATGACGAGATATGGTCCATTTACAACAACAATAGCAACAGCATCCGCACCAACAACAACAACAACAACAACAACAACAACAACAACAACAACAACAACAACAACAACAACAACAACAACAACAACAACAACAACAACAATAACAACAACAGCAACCGCAAAGAAGATCCGGCTTAAAGCCATGTTGGGATGCCTTGGTGTCTTCTGGAAGCTTTCCAGGGAAAGCAGTCACCTTAGGCGGCATAGAAACAAGCTTACCTGAACGCACTTGCAAAGATTTCAAGGCGCCAAGGAAAAGCCGATGAATCGCGACCTGTTGAAGCCTGTTTTAGTTGGTTCCCTCGTTCCCAGCGTCTATTAAGAATGGCTTGGCTTGTCACGTGACATGTGACATAGGTTCAGTTCCCACTCCCTGTATCATTACGGTAACCGACAAGATGATTGGACGTCAATCAGCACATAGAAAGACCACTGTGCTATGTTAGGCCACACTTAGTTTTTTCTATGTTTCTCGTCGGTGAATTTCAACAAAAGGTACGCGGGCGGGCGGAAAAAAAACAAAAGTCAAGAAAAAACAAGAACAATTTCCACTGAAAACTGTATACATTGTACATGTGTGATCAATACGTCATGACATCACTAATAAAAAGTGCTATTCCCATGATATCTATGGTGGATTATCAGCTCACACATAGCAAGCAAAGAGCAACAATGTGCTCATACATGTACATACAAAGCAGCCAATAGTACGACAGATAAACTAAACGGAGATGATCGGCTGCCACATCACTTGATATATTCCAAATACAACACAAAAATACATGTGACACGCATGTTGAATCAGTTGACGTGTGGAATGAATGTACATGCGAGGTATATCGCGAACACTGAGTCCATGTTGCCTAACAGAATCGTGACTGGCTAAAGTGACTAGTTCTCTGTCTCAGCATGTTTGCGCTTCCGGAACGATGCGTTTCCCACTTTCTGCTCACCACGGGTGCGGGGCTTTGTACCTCTGCTGCCGCACGACTGGCATGGCATGTGGATACTCTGGTACCTCTCCCGCTGCTCTGGTGTTGGGGCGGGAGGGTCGCTGGCACCACAGGAGAAGCAGACGGCTGCAAAACTCTTCTTCAACGCAAAATACGTTCGTTCCACGTCAAAAGAGCAGTCGAGGCTTGTTCGGACAACGACCAGGCGATGGAGCTCGTGGTCAGGCGCCAGAAGCGCGGCTCCACAGACATAGTCGGTGTCATCCAGTGCCTGCCGGATGGCCACTTGTTGTGTGTCCTTCAGGCGGGACGAGCTGAATACACATCTTGGCTTGGCACACTCACTGCAGACGACAGTCAGCCTGGCAGTTTCAGCTTTGAGCTGGACATCACCTTCACGCTGTTGATCCGGCTTTGTCCCTCCCTCGGTTAATCGTGCCGATGGCCGACTGTCATCTGTGGCCTTGCCCCATACCTCAGCGAATGGTAGGTAGCTTTCACTGCCAGGCTTCTTCACTGGGTCTGGGAACATGGCCAGAGTGCTGAAAATGTCGCTGGGAAGGACTGGAGGACCACAGATCTCACAGGTCTCCTCGCCGCACTTCTTGATTGTGAAAGCATAATGGCGGACATGGCAGCACTGCTTGTAGAACTCTTGGAGCTGCTGTTTGCTCTTGATAGCAAGTTGTGTGGTGTCAGCTCGGCTAACGGCAGGATCAATGGTCTTCATCTCCTCCCACATCTCGTCAATGCTGGCCTCATCAGCTCCTGGCAGAACAGTCACAGGCTCATCCTTCAGCTTAAGGCGCGACAATGTACTGCTCATGAGCTCCATGGGTGCTTCCATGGCTTTGCTCACAGCATCCTTCAAGGCCGGATGGCGCTCTGCCTGTGCTCTCAGCTCAGCCATAGAGTTGACATTCTTCAGCAGCTTCTCCATATCATCTGCCATGGTGGATCGCATCATGCCAATTGCCTGCATGCCAAGGTTCAAGATGGACATGACACGCTCAACAATGTTGCGGTAGGACTGCATCGGTGCTGTTCTCATTGCGACAAGGTAGTCCAGGCCGAGAGACTTAAACAGGCACATGAGCGACACCTGGACAGATACATAGGTCACGCGGTGATCAGGCCCTCCATCCGTGTAGAGCAGAAGAATCGGCTTTTTGACGGTGTTCACACTAGCCCTTCGCAGAACTTTCTTCAACTCGGCTGCATGCCGCAGCGGTGATGACAGCTGGAATGCGGTGTGCTTCACTGAGACATAGACCTTTCCTCGGTAGAACGACTCCTCGATAGAGTTCGGAGTTTCACACACGAGGGCAACAGATGGAGTGGTCTTCAGCTTGGTGAAGTCATGATCAGCCACCTGGAATGATTCCGTGGTTCCGACAACCACAGAGCGCCCCCGGTCGACTGCAGCGACTGGGAAGCCGGGCTCGCCGACCTTAACAAGATGTTTGTCGTCCATAGACACCAGTGTAGCAGAGTCATGATACTGCACTGCAAACTCTCGCAAGTAGCGGAACTGAGCCGCAGCATAGTGCGCATCCGGATGGTCGTGATGGAGTTGCCGAGATTGCAGGGTATGGCGGATGTTGAGTTTGCCAGTGTACCAGCGTGCCGACTGGGTGAACGGGTTGCTCGGCCAGAACTGGAACTGAACCCATTCAACGGATGGTATGGGTGTTCCTTCCGGTACAGTCTTGGCAACTTGCTCAACAAAATCACGTGTTGAGACAGCTGCAGCAAGGTGGGTGACAGTGCCGTGCCGTCGGCTGTCAACGGCCTTGAGAGAATGAGCTTCTAAGAATGCCCTCGCTGCATCCCAGAATGGCTGGTACTTTTCTGGCCTCCCAGAATTCAATTCTCTGAGGTCAAACACCATGTCTGGATCTTGCGCATCTAGTGCCGCTTTCAGCCGTTGGTGGACAGCAGTAGTGACAGTGCAGGACAATGCAGACTGATCACCAGTTAGCTCTCTGTACATCTCCGTCAACACAGTGGGACTTGTGGATGACAGCATGCCATAGCGACTGACAAACGCTCGTCTCATTGCCCGCTTGTGGTAGACACTAATGTCTTGTTTCAGACCATCGACAACCTTTGCTGTGCGATCAGTGTCAGCTTCCTCAACTTTCCAGCACCACCACAAAGTGGTCAGGTTACCACCCTGGCTGTAACTCAGCATCTCAATATCAAAGGGGAGCGCAAACTCCTGCAGGTACATATACCGGTCATGACGGATGATGGGCATGAGTGGATTGAGGTGAACTGGTTGAAACTCCAGTTTCATTTCTAGGTCCTTCTCCAACTGCTGGTATCTCTGTATCACCTTGCCATCCGTGCGCACAACACCCTTTTTCATGGTGATGTTAGCTGATGTCCCGTCGCCAGGATGATGTGCTGCTGTTGTAGCTTCATGACGACTTTGGACACGCATAGCGCACTCTGCAAGGTACTTGCCATAGCTCCGGAGTCCAGCAGCCAAGCCAGCAATGTGGCCAGTCAAGCACTTCCAGCGAGCAGTGTTCACCCAAGGGTAGGACAGAACACCATACAGCTGGTCTGCCAGGTGACAGACCTCGTCCTGAGTGAACTGCTTCACAACATTGTGCTTGTGTTGGCCTGGGTCGTTGTACTCACTGCCTTTGCTGACCATGCACTCGAACACAGCGGGGATGACAATTCCTCTGCTCTTCAGAGTCGCCAAGCGCTTTGATGGCGAGATGGCGAAGAGAACATCAGCTATCGCATCAACGAATGCTTTTCCACTCGTCTTTTCCTCGCCATGCGTCCACCCAAGTTTCTGCTCGCGTAGGATCTCCACGACGTCGTTCCGCAGACGCCAGTCGCCACGGAACTTTTCCGACTCACGGTACTCCTGGGACCCGCGAGGCTCAGGCAGTGAAAGCTTCGTTGCCGCCGCCATCATCGCAGAGAACGCATTCGTACGGGGAGCAGTTCTTTGCTGTTGTGATTCGGACTTCGTTGTGACAATGAACGTGACGAAGAACCCGAACCGCCGACACGTCGGTACTGCAACCAAGCCTGGTTGCACGGTGATGATGCACACGGACTGCAAGGATGGTTCCTTCTGTACCTTCACAGAAATGCTGCTATCTCCATCCATCACTGCGCTGACGTCTTCCTTGAACTGTGCATCCTCGTCGGCCAGTAGTTGTTCGAGTACGCTTCGGAAGGACTTGTCATCGTCGACGCTCTCACCATACCAATCAAGGCAACGGCGACCGTCAACAATGACGGAGAAGCTGATGACTTCGGCCATTCGGCCAACGCACGAAAACTAAACACCAGCGCTACACCTCAGTGCTTCAACTTCAAAATACCAGTAGCCAGACTGACGGAAAATAAAAGCCTGTCGCTGTCCAAACGAAGATATCGACTTCACTCTCCAGCTTCGCTGTCTTCACGGGATCGAAACGAGATTCATGCAAAGGCGAAGTCGTATTGTTGCCAAAGAAATCCGATCCGTGAGCTGAAAGCAGCGCCAAGTCTCATGCGTGGGCCAATGCGGCCCTCGGATGGGTGCTTGGGGCCGTACGTGGTGTTGTTGAAAGAGAAACGCGGAGCTGCTTTTGACTCCGGCGAGTCGTAGGCCGGGTTTCTTTGGCCACAACTCACTGTAGTTGTGAACTGGGATTCTCACCTTTCTGATAGTGATACCTTCCTGGTGAATCATATGAATCGACATGGGACCTAAAGACCTTGCATGAGCGAGTTGAGGTGTCGCGGAAGCGATTGAAGAAAGCATGACAAGGCCGGCACTGGACCGGCCAGCCCTGCACTCTGCAGTAGGGTGACACGCCAGTCAACAGCACTGCTGCATGCAGACACCGCGTCGTACCCGCGTACTAAAAAGTGCGATTTTTGACACTTTGCGTTGCTGCATTGTACATGTATGCCGTACACATGCAGGAGTGCGAATTTTTTTTTTCTTCCGAAAATTGTGAAAACCTACGCGCGCGGCGACGAGAAACATAGAAAAAACTAAGTGTGGCCTTAAAATGAAAATGGGAATTGTTTAAAGGAAAAAATTGGAGACGTATCCAATTTCGAAAGAAAAGTTGACAGCACCGACGCAATCCACACAGTCAAGTAAGTCAATTCCATAACCGAACGTTTTCGTTCCCTTCTCATCATCTGTAAATACAGGGAATATGCATCGGTGCTGTCACCTTTTCTTTCGGAAATGATTGAGTAAAAGAAACTTGACTCATCATACCCCCCCAGTACCCCCCCCCCCCGCAGTAAAGTATGAAGGGATCTGTAAAAACACGTTTAACCAAATTTTTAGGCAGTCTCACGCCCCGGGTTGATTTCAACCATCCCTTAGTGTCGATCCTTGTGACAAATTTCGTCGAACTCCAGCATCATATTGTTTGGTTTGGGGCATTGACAGTTTTTATATCATTGAGGAATTACAAAGAAGATTATGTGAGTTCTTGGTTCCGCATGTTATGCGTGTTCTTCCTTCCGATATGTTTGAATGCTTGCTGTTGTGCATGGATTTCGTGTCCATGTGTGTGTGTGTGTGCATTGCTTTGACTATTGGATTTGCAGAAGCAAGCATGAGGCCTTGCAACAGTATCAGCAGTCGTCCGCTTGTTCAACTCAAGACTTTCAGCGTCGCGGTACAACCTTCAGCTGGGGGTTGGAAACGAGTGAAGAGAGTGATTTTCCGGTAACACCCGCTGCCCCAACCCTATCCGCAATTCCGGCTTCTTCCAGCGAGGCATCACTACACAGTAATACGTATGAAAACAAGGTCACTTTGACCCTTAAAACATTCACTGCGGATGAGGAAGTTGATTTGGGTGCCACGAAAGCACCCTGGACACCCAGCAAGCGTAAGCTTCTGTCGTCAGACACAGTGGATGAAGAACTGAGTGCAAGTTTCACTGATTCCCTGGACAGCCACCCTAGCGCTCTGGACGGCAAAAGCATGCAGTCTACTTGCATCTGATGAGTTTTTATAACGGAAGAAAGTGCGCCAAGTACAAGCACAACTTGACTAAGAACAATCAGAGTATTGTCCTGGTTTACTGTTCTCTTAAAGCCACTTCTTCAAGAACTCTCTTGCATTTCCTCGTTTCATAGTAATCATGTTATTATCTAGGTTCTGTGCTTTGGTTTCGTGCTGTTCACACTAATATCATCCAGAACACGTTTATCTGATTACTGGCCTATACCCCCCCCCCCCCCCCTGGATGGTAATGCTGTTTTTGTGTATGATCCGTGCACTTGAGTTTTGCAACATGAATTCCACGCTCCCCGGGCTTCACACTCACTTTTATGTTCATCCAAACGGTTTGGGTGGGCAGCTGCATCACGTGACACTCAAGGTGGAATCAAAACGTCTTTCTTTCCCCTTGTGACCAAGTAGACCATAGGTCATATGGGATTCATCTACTGCTTGCCTTCTACTCTTGCCTGCTTTTCGCGATAGCAGCTTATAATTTCTCCTTGGGCACCCTGTAAGTAGACGAAAGGCCTGTTTGGTATACTCAAGTTAAATATTAAATACTACTACCGCCACTACTGCCCAGTTCATTTTTTAAATCTCCCTGTCGTCTAGTCCTGCCAATAATATTCACGCTACTCTCTATTCTCGAATGCGTTGATTCCGATTTACCATGTTGCATTGATGATGAATATAATATACAGCCTTTTTTACTGAATGTATTACACAGAGCGTAAAACATAGCAGAGGATAGAACTTCAGGGTTGGCAATAACTTCAATTTTCATCCCGCAAGTTCATTATTCATTGCAATAAGATAACTGACATGTTATATTATATATTTATATTTATTACAACATCTCAAGACTCGGTGGAAACACCGGCCAATGTTAAGAGACTGGGTGATTGCCAACCACGGCGATAAATAAAAAGAAGGGGAGGGAAAAAGAAAGAGTAGCAAAATGAACAGCAACACCAACTCCGTAAAGAAAGATAATGTCAAATAAAAACAGTGAAAAACACAGAGACGCAAAGGACATGTGGATAATGAGCTATTTATGTCGTAGTAAATAAGGGGGGGGCACGGATCTTAAACAGGCGGAATGAGGTCAGGTCCTTAACTTCTCTGGGTAGAGTGAGCCAAACAGAAAAAGCAATAAGGAGAGGGGAACGCAAAAGAGTGGATGAGTTACACTTAGGGAATCAGAGCGAGATTCTAGTTCTTAGAGAAGAGACCCAATTAAAACACATGAGATGAGGTGGGCACAACTCAAGCTTAATAGAATGGACAAGAGCAGCCAGGTGTGCACTGCGTCCATGTGATAACGGGGTTCTGTGAGCGATTTTATAAAGGGCGGATGATGAGAGCTTCCGGGGTGGACGGAGGAGAATCTTAAGGATTTTCTTGTGGTGTATTTCAAGCTTTGCAGCAGCGAAAGAGGATAATCCAACCCAAGACGTATCGGCATAATCAAATATTGGGCGAAGGTAGGCTAAATAAAAAAGAAGCTTGCAAGAAAGTGGGAGGTAGGAGCAGTGGGGGGAGAGAATACCTAAGGATTTACTTGATTTTTACAGATATATTCGATGTGGGGTACCCAAGAGAGTGCAGAGTCAATCACAATGTGAAGGTGTTTGTGAGAAGACACTATGTCAATTGGATTTGGAAAGTTGGCATGGATGAGGGTTGTGAACTCCGGCTGGGGCGGGAAGAGCATGATCTTTGTTTATGATAGATTTGGGGACAACCTCCAGGACGACATCCAGGAAAGAACTTCCGAATGCCAGCACGCAAGTTGTTTTTCAGGCCAGTGAGGGAAGCTGATGAAGTGAGAAGGGATGTGTCGTCAGCAAACAGAGACGTTCCAGGGAAGACTGCAGGTAAGCCGTTTACGTAAATTATAAATAGTAGGGGACCAAGAATTGATCCTTGAGGAACGCCTGACAATACTGGCTCTGCAGCCGAGGGTGTGCCAAGCACAGTTACGTACTGATAACGCCCAGAGAGATAAGATTTCAGCCAGGAGAGTGGTTGTTTGCGTACCCTGAATGCATGCTCGAGCTTTGCCAAAAGTCCTCGATGCCAGACGGTATCAAAAGCCTTGGCCAAGTCAAAGAAGCAAATGCCAGCAAGCGCTCTGTTATCCCTATGCTGGCACACCTGCTGCACGATGCGGGTCAGTTGAAGGGAGGTGGAGTCGCCTTTACGAAACCCAGATTGTGCGGGACTCAGAAACGGCGAAACATGTCTGTATAAGTGGTCATAAAAGATGCGTTCACATACTTTGGACACGCAGGGAAGAAGAGAGATAGGGCGGTAGTTTGCAGGTTCGTGGCGGGAACCTTTCTTGAATACAGGTATGACTTTCGCTGTTTTCCATGCGGAAGGGAATATGCCCTTGGTAAATGACATGTTGAAAATATGGCACAAAGGGAATGCTATGGATGGTGCCAGGGCCTTGAGGACCCGGTTGGGGATGCCGTCGGGACCAGATGCCTTGCACGTCGGAAGCTTCTTCAAATGACGCCGGACAGTGGCAGTTGTGGTGATGACGGACGTGAGACAAGCTGAGGGCTCCGAGGGGGTGAGAATAGGGGGAATAGAGAGCAACGGGTCATCTGGCCGAGTCACAGAGGCAAACTGGGCGTTTAAAGGGGAAGTATACCCTAAAATCAAATTTTCACCAGTTGTAGTCTTCTGGGTGCTGAGTCGAATGGTCTTGGTCCGAGGAAGCTGCCACGCTCCCTTCCTACTTGAATCCCAATCGAACTCGCGCACTTCCACCGAAACTGGGTGACTGCGCCCTACTAGATGGGGATTTGTATGCAAAATGTCACTAAAAGCGCCATTTCGTTCTTATAAAAGCACGGATGACCGCGATTGGCCCATATGTTGTAGTCTTTTGGACGCTGAGTCGACTGGTTTTGGTCCGAAAAGGCTGCGATGCAGCGTTCCTCCTTTATTCCCAATCGAACATGGTTGAACAAGCGGTCACGTGCTCCTGGGTGCCCAAATCACCTGGTCACCGCGCCAGCAGGTGACAACTTTCACACCAAGGTTCAACTCGAGTTCAACTCGAGTGACAGGACTGCACCCAAAAAAGGTCAAACAGGCTAGTAAGTTGTACCCTGCAGGCACGGTGACCAGGTGACTGGTGTACGCAGGAGCACGTGACCGCTTGTTCAACCATGTTCGATTGGGAATAAAGGAGGAACGCTGCATCGCAGCCTTTTCGGACCAAAACCAGTCGACTCAGCGTCCAAAAGACTACAACATATGGGCCAATCGCGGTCATCCGTGCTTTTATAAGAACGAAATGGCGCTTTTAGTGACATTTTGCATACAAATCCCCATCTAGTAGGGCGCAGTCACCCAGTTTCGGTGGAAGTGCGCGAGTTCGATTGGGATTCAAGTAGGAAGGGAGCGTCGCAGCTTCCTCGGACCAAGACCATTCGACTCAGCACCCAGAAGACTACAGCTGGTGAAAATTTGATTTTAGGGTATACTTCCCCTTTAATGCCGTCGCTTTGGCCAAAGGGTCAGCCGCCTGCTGAGACCCTGTGGTGAGTGACGGAATTTCCCGTGATACCTTTCGAATTCTCGCTTGTCTCACAAACTGGTGAAGCGATGGACGGTGTCTACCCTGCAAAGTAGTTTGCACTGAGCGGATATAAGCTCTGTACTTTGTCTGAGTCAAGGTTTTCACTATATTTCGCTGCTGTTGGTATGCTTGTTTGTTTTGTGGTGTTGGGTACTTCTTAAAAATGCTATAGAGATCATATTTCCACTTGATTGCTGTGCGGAGATGGGCATAAACCCAGGGTGGCTGACTGGGCCGTGGGCAGCGGTGAGAATACGGCTGCTTTCCGAATGGCCAGAGGTGCTTCTCAAGGGCACTGTTGAGAATGGAAGAAAAGTGCGAAAGCGCATCATTGACGTTGCTGGCACGCAGGTGCCAGCTCCAGTCAATATCAGCGAGCTCTGCATTCACACTATCCCAGACGGAAGATGGCACGGATTTAAAGTCATATTCCGGCTTTGCAGGAAAATTGCTGAAGTGATTTCGGGGTGCAGCAGCGGGATGTCCGTTTGCAGCAGGTTCCTCACGGTAAACAGCATCAGTAGGCAGTAGGAAATGACTGAGGATCTGCGGTCAGATGCACCAAGAGGAGCAACAGATGTAACAGAGAGTAGTAGGTGAGAATGATCCGTGAGTACAACGTCAATACACGATGTTGAGCCGTGGGGGGGGGGGGGGTAAAGTGTGTGGGGAATGTCACCATTCGTCCAACTGCAACCCTCTGGCGATCAGTCAGGTAATCCCTCAGCCAAGCGAGAAGTGGACCAGTTACACCATAGCATTGTGCCTTGTGCAAAATGCCTACATGAGAGACGCGGTCGAATGCGCCAGCCACATCAACTGCAATGACTCTAACCACACCACCTCTGGCTGCAACGCGACTCCGTTGGTAGTTGAGTAGCGTGAGTATGTCCTGTGTGCCGAGTTGGCTGCGGAAGCCATACTGACTTTTCGATAAGATGTTGTGTGCCTACAGGAACTGTCGGATTGATTGGATGATAATGGCCTCCATGACTTTAAACAGAATAGAGAGGAGGGAGATCGGGCGGTAGTTCTTGACATCAGACTTGCATCGGCACAACCATTGCCGCCTTCCACATTGTAGGTTGCCGACCTTGGTGGAAGGCCTGCGAAAAGAGCCACGACACTGGGAAAGCCAGCGTTTTGCTGCATTGCTGGAGTACACGCCTGGGGATGCCGTCTGGACCCGTGGCTTTGGAGGGGTGGAGTTGCCTCAGCTTCCGCTCAACGGTGCTTGGCCGAAAGTGGACATTGCGGAGTTGGGCTTCTGATCGGGGGCGGACTGGAGGGAGGCTGTTGGCTTGCAAGTCGTTGTCACCAAGACTGCACTTTGCGGAGAAGTACTGCCCGAATGCTTCGGCCTTTTCGCTGCACGTGGTGTGCTCAGTTTCGTAGCAGAACAGGTATGTCTGCAGAGCGGTGTCCTTGCCCACCTGCTCGCTTGACGGTTGTCCACCATTCAGGACCTCATTCATTGCTTCTGTCAACAGAGCTGTCCACACACAGTAGAGCGCCCATACGTCTAGCGTCAATCGACTGCGCCACACACTCAGCTGCCAGTCACTTAGTGATAAACAGTGCTGGACAAACGTGAAGAAAACCACTGGCGCTACACGCAACTCCGCTGATGTTCCTTTGCTAGTCGATAGCCATGGCAAGGAGTTCCACACCTCAGCAGAGAAGGCTGAGTGCCTGGCAACGCATTTCTCCTCGAAATGCAGCTTGGATGACCGAGAACTGACTATCAATGACCTTCCTGCGGTGACCACCCCGACCCACGAGCCATTAGAGCACGTTCATTTCCGAGAAGAAGCTTCAGTCCGGCGGCATCTTGCAAGGTTAATCCCATCCAAGGCATCTGGACCTGACAGCATTCCATCTCGGGTATTGAAAGAGTGCTCTAAGGAATTTGCTGCTCCCATCACGAAACTGTTCCGTGTTAGCTTTCGTGCCGGTGTTGTACCGTCCCAATGGAAGCTCGCTCACGTTCTCCCGGTATACAAGAAGCCACCTCGATCTAGGCCAT